AGTGTTGCTGTAATTTCAGCATTCTTGAGTTTTCTTTATGAAGCTCTAGGGCTAGTAGAGAGGCTCACGGGGCTAGTTGACATATTTTTTAATGTTCTCCAGAGAATAGCAGTTTGAAAGAGCCTAACAGAAAGCTTTTATTTTATTTTTAATTAGCACACATTGGTGGTATATGGGGTTATATTTCTATACATGCAAGCAGTATATGCTGATCAACCTCATCCCTTCTGGTACTGTCCTTCATCCCACTCTCCTATCCTAAAATAATCTCAACAATAATCTCGCTTCTATCTTCATACATGGAGAAAAGCTACTTCAGCCATATTCATCTGCATTTACCCTCATTTTCGCCTTCCCCCATCTTGCAACTGTTCCTTTATCTGAGCCCATTTTATTTTTGTTATTCATTTTTGTTTATTTTGTGTGAATTAATTGTTCCAAGGAGTTTTACTGTGGCATTTCAGAGTGCATATATTACATTTTGCTTAGAATAACGCTCTTTTTTTTTGTTTGGAAAGCTTATTTTAATGTCATAGTGTGTGTGTGTGTGTGTGTGTGTGTGTGTGTGTGTGTTGTGTGTGTGCAGATTGTGAGGATTTTGGGGTGTGTGTATGTGTGCAGATTGTGGGGATATTGGGATGTGTGTGTATGTGTTCTGGGCTTGAATTCAGGGCACTGTCATTGAGCTTTTTGTTTTCTCTCTTAAGGCTAATGCTATTCCACTTGAGCCCAGGCCCCATTTCTGGCTTTTTGCTGGTTAATTGGCAATAAGAGTCTCATGGACTTTTCTCCCTAGGCTGGGCTTGAACCACAGTCCCCAGATGTCAGCCTCTTGAATAAGTAGGATTACAGGAATGAATTAGTGATGCCAGGGTAGCGTTTTTATTTTGTGAACAGTAGACCCTTGGTATCCACAAATACATGATTCTAAAGAGACCACCATTGAGGAAAAAATCTATAAATGCTCAGGATACATAGACTTAATTATTCTGGGATTACTTAAATTTATCTATACTATATGTATATTAAGTCTGAGAATACATAAATGGAAGTCATATGGAGTAGGCTACATTATTGTTACAAAAGTCATGTTGCACATATCAGTACTGCTCACAAACCGTAGATCTTGTTCATGCTCTTCATCTTTAATACTGCCAATGCATGATTCATTCTTTCCCATGATACTGCCTAGCTTCCAAGAAAGACTTGACTCCTTCCAACGAATCTACAATTTTCACTTTAACACTTTAATTATGCTTTGTCACTTTCAATTAAACTCGCTTTATTGCATCATATCATTTTTTGGGAAGAATCTGTCACAAAGTTAAGGGACATGCTCAGCAAGTTACATGATCATAAATACAATTGATGATAACACAGGGCTCACTGAGAGCTTCCCCACATCAATGGAGAATTAAATTGTTCTAAAAACTTCTTTGGGTCTTTCTGTCCATTTATTTTTTGATTGCACTTGGTCAAAATGATGTGTAATAAATTTTTGAAAAAGGCAAGTTCACAGTATATCTCTGGGAAGATACTAGGAATTGCTTTGTAACATAACAAATGTTGGAAATATTTCTGGAAAGTTGGAACCCTTAACTCTTCTATTAAAGAGGCACCCTCACTATTGCGGGACATACTTATATCTGCAACCTCAACAGATTCAGATGCATATATGAGAACTTTGCCTCCCTTCCTTCCCATCCCTTCCTTCCTTCCCTCCCTTCCTTCCTTCCTTTCTGTCCTGGGGCTTGAACTCAGGGCTTGTGTACTGTCCCTGAGCTTTTGTGGTCAAGGCTAGCACTCTACTACTTGAGTCACAGCTCCACTTCTGGGAGATAAGAATCTCATGGACTTTCTTGCCTGGACTGGCTTGAAACCTTGATCCTCAGATCTTAGCCTCCTGAGTAGCTCCAATTAGAGATATGAGCCACCGATGCCTGACTTTTCACTTTAATTTTTAAGATGTTTTGCTGCTGCTACCACCGCCTCTTCTACCTCCTCCTTGTCTTCCTCTTCTTCCTTTACTTCCTCCTGTTTCTCTTCTATCCCTCTTTCTCCTCTTTACCCTCTTTTTCATTCTCCTCCTGCTCCTCTTCCTTCTCTTCCTCCTCCTTTTCCTCCTCTTCCTCCTTCTTTTTCTCTTCCACCTTTTCTTCTTCCTCTTCCTCCTTCTCCTTTATCCTCTTGGTGCTGGGGACAAACTTAGAACCTTGGGCTTAGTAGGTAAGCACCCTACCACTAGGCACATCCTGAGCCCTTGTTCTTTTGAGTCATTGTCTTACTAGGTAACTGAGCCTGGCCTGAATTCTTGATCTTCCCACCTTCACCTCCTGAGTGCTAGGATTACAGGTGTATACCCTTATATCTGGCTATGTTGTTGCTTTTTTATTTTAAAATTTCAAAGAACTTTACTTAAAAGACCAGGCCAAAAAATAAAATAATACGAGCTGGGGAAATCACAAAGCACCAAATAAAGTTAGAGGCTAGGAGGCCATAGCTGCCCTCCTTGGAGCTTTGAGTCTGTTGGATGAATGGAAAGGGATGACCTATAAATTTTTGTCATGGCTGTGGGTAGAAAGTGACGCCTGAGTCAGGTGAGGCAGTGCAGGGGATGAGGGAGGATTGTGGGGGAACATTCAACCTTGTAGGCAAGGTCACCTTCCATAGTCAGTGTGTTGTTGCTTCTTAACACATGGATATAAGCATTTCTTGCCTAAGTATTATAAATATTTCAAACCTCAGTAGGTTTGGGGGATACATAAACACACACACACACACATACACACACACATACACACACATTTCTATATACACATCATATATCCTCTTCTCTTGTCCAGCCTTGAGATTATAACAACAGTTTGGCTAGAGGCATAGGGAACCTGGTATGGCCAGGGTCTTTACACAGCCATTTTTAGTTCCTTCTACACTTCATTGATGTATGTGAACAGAGAACTCAACGCTGCTCCATCCTCTGAAGCACTGGAGTAGCTTTGGGTCTTCCTGAGTCCTTCTTCTAACAAATCCACTAGTTAGCAATGGGCAGCCACTATTATTGGAGTCACGCATGCCAAACCCCTGTGCCTAATTCTCAAAGTTGGTGTTGGATCTCCTTGTCTCTGAACTTAAAACTTTGATCCTTGTTCCTGATTTCTGTTTTTTTTTTTTTGGTCAGTCGTGGGGCCTGAACTCTGGGCCTGAACGCTGCCCCTCAGCTCTTCAGCTGAAGGCTAGCACTCTACCACTTGAGCATCAGCCCCACTTCCAGCTTTTTCTGCTTATGTGCTGCGGAGGAATCGAACCCAGGGCCTCATGCATGCAAGGCAAGCACTCTACCACTGAGCCACCTTGCCAGCCCCCCTTGTTCCTGATTTCTGTTGAACACTACTACTTTTTCTTCTGATAAGTGGCCTTGATTCTTCATTATGCTGTAGGTGGAAACTTTATGTTCTAGCTCAGTTTTATAGGTTTCAGTTCCCATCATTGGCCACTGACCAACCTAGATACTTTCTGAGCAGCAGCTGTTTCAGTGCAGTGAACTGCCTTTCTTCAATTCTTTTTTATGGCCACCTTCTTTTCTGTGTTAATGATTATTACCCTTTTTCAGCCATCAACCCAATCTGCCATTACATTTCAGGTGCATGAATGACTATTCTTTTGTATGCTAAAGGTCAAATTAACATAAAGATACCCATTTTTATGTGAGGCACTCATTGTTGATGATTGAGAATAAAAGCCTGTTATCAAGACAGGTGCTTCTTTACAGCATTTTCTCTGTGTTCAGGCTGCATCCTCTGACAAAACCTTATCTGGTACATAATTGTTTAAAAGCCTTTTTCTATTAATTGATTTGTCTTTGGTGTGCTGTTGGCACAGAAGAATTTACATTTATTTGGGAGATTGTCCACTTGAGTTTCTATGAGCCCTACTAGAGCATATGTCTTATTCTATGGTTAAGTAGTTATTTGGCTTATTTTAATCTCCTAGTGATAGATGAATGACGGATTTTCCCCTCTACCATATCTTTACATTTACAAATCAGGCCTCACAAAATCATTAGTGTCAGGAACATTCAAGAGTTTTATATCATGATAATGTCTTAATCCTTCCTCTTTGGTTACAGAAATAAATTCTTCCTGACTAGATCTCCACCTGGGCAGGCAGGAAACAATTGCTTACCACATCCATCACTTCTGTCTGCACATTATCATGTTTCAAAGGTTTTCCCATTAATCCTGTGGAAGCTAGAATCACTCCTAATTATAATCCTGTTTTGCCTCTTTATTTCTGGATGTGCTTGTTAATTCATGTCCATCCTGCAGTGATCTGTAACATAGTGCTATTATCAGCCCTTTTGTCTTTAAAAGCTTCTTGTCTGCCATTTTGACTAAGATTGATTAACTGCACTTTGTTGAAATCGATCATTTTGGATTAAAAAAATCTATTCTGTATATTTCTTCTGGCTACTTAGGCATGGCTTCACTATTCTTACCCCCATTTAATCAATCTGCCAACCCGGATTCTTTTTCCTTTCTGGCTTCCTTTCTCTTGCTCTTTCCTTTTTAAAGAACTGTTAATCTTGATCTCTTTATTTCTCTACCCCTCTTGTAGATGACACCCCTGAGATGAAAAGCCCAGCTGCAGGAGTCAGTGAATAAATTCTCTTTTCAAATCTGGCCAGACACGACTCCCATTTTTATAAAATGAGAAATGATAGTCTTTCTACTTTGTGATCTTTTCCTTAAAGTTTTTGGAGTGAAAGCCTTATAATTGGCTACTAGGTACTCTGCAATGTCACTGTAACATTCTTCTTATTTATAGTCTCAAACTCCTATTTGCTAATCTTAGATACTAACCTACTTTTGTGTTTTTCTTTTAAGATATTGAGGTGTTGAACTACAGTCTTGTGCTAGGCAAGTGCTTTTACTACTGAGCTATATTCTGAATACCCTGGTTTTTTTTGACATATAAATTAATATTTTATTTTCTCCTCCTAGGTACTGACTTTAACATAGATAGCTTACCTCTGCCTCGGGAAGCTTACCATGATTGGGCTCTCTTCCATGAAGAATCCCCCAAAAACAACTATAAACTCTTCCATAAGCCAGTCATTACCTTGTTCAACTACACAGCTACATTCAGCAGGCATTCCCATTTGCCACTCACTACCCAGTACTTGGAGGGTGTAGAAGTCCTGAAGTCACTACAATATCTAGTTCCTTTGCAGTCTAAAAACAACCTAAGGAAAAGACTTGCTCCCCTGGTTTATGTACAGTCAGACTGTGACCCACCGTCAGATAGAGACAGCTATGTTCGAGAGCTGATGACTTACATCCAGGTGGATTCCTATGGTGAGTGTTTACAAAACAAAGAACTCCCACAGCAGCTGAAAAATCCAGCCTCTCTGGATGCTGAAAGCTTCTATAAGATCATTGCCCAGTACAAGTTTATCCTTGCTTTTGAGAATGCAGTTTGTGATGACTACATCACTGAGAAGTTCTGGAGGCCACTGAAGCTGGGGGTGGTCCCTGTGTATTACGGTTCTCCCAGCATCACAGACTGGCTTCCCAGTAACAGAAGTGCTATTCTTGTATCTGAATTCGCTCACCCCAGAGAACTAGCAAGTTACATCAGAAGACTGGATTATGATGACAGATTGTACGAGGCCTACGTAGAATGGAAGCTGAAGGGTGAAATCTCCAATGAGCGACTTCTGGCAGCTCTCAGGGACAGGAAATGGGGAGTACAAGACATCAACCAGGACAATTACATCGATGCATTTGAGTGTATGGTGTGCAGCAATGTATGGGATAACATTAGGCTGCAAGAAAAGGTAAGTGAATCAGATATGGCAAAGGGGTGTGGGCTAGTCATTTTGTAGTCCTCTGTCATTTCACACCTATGGCTGCTGCCTATCCCAGCTTCTCATTCTAGCAGAGAGGCAGGCTCTGAAAGAAGGTTGAATATTTCCTTATAGTCTTTGGGGAAATGAAAATTAAATTTAAAATTATATCCTTCTTCCCAAAGCTTTCTATTCCCTTTCTCATTTCTTCTGGAGGCTACCTGTGCTACAGATTCTGGACACTAACACAAGGGGGCTACAAATGCAGGAAAGAAGACACCAAAATGAAAACATTTTCATGTTCTGAATATCATCCATGTGGTTAATTCTTCAATAATGTGGTAGAAGACATATGACCATTTCTTTCATAACTAATGTCCCAGCACCAGCCAACTTGAATTTTATCTTTATTTCACATATACAGTTAACTACATTTTACCCCCTTCTTGTTCTTTTCTTGCTTTTGCTCTTGCTGGTAAGAACACAGACCTTCTGATATAGATTGAATATTTCTTACCCCAAATGCTTGGGACCATATTATTCAAGATTTTAGATTTTTTCAAGTTTGAAATAACATAGTCTTTACCAATTGAACATTTGTAATCCAAAGAATTCAAAATCTGAAACTTTTTGAACATCATAAGTATGCCCAAACCGTTTTGGACTTTGGAGCATTTTGATTGCAGATTTTCAGTTTTTTGTTTGTTTGTTTTTTGTTTTAGAGCCCAGGATTGTTCAAATAATGATGTATACACCTTAACATCCTTATAAAGTTAGGTGGGTGCTGGTGGTTCATGACTGTAATCCTACTCCAGATGCTGTGATCTGTGGATGATCATGGTTTGAAGCCAGTTCGGGTAGGAAAGTGTGTCAGAGTTTTTTTTTATTATTATTTTGAAAATACTGTACAGTGTGGTTACTATTACATGGGCAAGGTAATGAGTACATTTCTTATCAAGCATTGTTGCCTCCTCCTTTGTTTCCCCTTACCAATCTTCCCATCCCTTCCCATCCCTGCCCCGTCCCCCCCCCCCCCCCCCCCAAAGCCAGAGTTGTAAAGTTCGTTTTTCAACATTTTTGTCTCAAATTAACCACCAAAATGCCAGAAATGGAGCTGTGCTTAAGTGGTAGAGTGCCAGCCTTGAACAAAAAAAAATCTCAGGGATAGTACCCAGGCCCTGAGTTCAGGGCCAGCAAAAAAAAAAAAAAAATTATAGGTTTTCTTTCATTTAAATCATAGAGTTCTTAACTATATCTTCAAATATCTAGATATGTGTATGTGTGCGTGTGTGTGCGTGTGCATGTGTGTGTGTGTGTGTGTACGTGTGTGCGTGCATGCCACACGTGCACATGCTGGTGCTAGAGCTGGAACTCAGAGCTGTGGACGCTCTGTCTATTAGGTAGGCTGGAACTCTATCACTCGAGTCATAGCTCCACTTCCAGCTTCTTCTTCTTTCTTTGGCGGTTAATTTGAAATAAGAGTCTCACAGACTTGCCTGGACTGGCTTTGAACCAGTATCTTGAGATCTTAGCTTCCTGTTACATTATGGGCATGAGCCAAGCCCTCTAGATTGCTTTTGACATTTATTTATAATGAAAGTAATCTCATGAATTTGTTCAGGTGATATTTATTGAAGCTAACTACTTTTAACTTTCTATAGGTAAAAAAGAAATTTGGTCTTCTCTAGCCATATCATTTGTTTATCACCCATCAAACCACTGGCTGGTTACCATAAATGCTTAACATTTTATCTAAGCTCTCTGAAAGCAAACAATTTCATTTTTTAGCAATAATGGGATTTCAACTCAGGGGTTTGTGCCCACTAGAGTGCCATAAATGAGCCATACCCTCAACCCTGAAGGTAAACAATGTTTGTTAAGTATTTTAGTGTTTATTAATTTCAAATATATACCTAAATACTATGAGAAATTATGTTCATGTAGTATCTGGATACTATATGGGACTTCAATAAACTAAATATCTCTAAATATACAGTTATTTATATATATGTAAATATACATATACATGTTTTTACATCTTTAACAAATTTAAAATAGTTGAATATGTTCCTAATTTTAACAGTTATGAAAATTTAGACTCTTTTATGTGATTTTTTTTTGATTCGGTTGTGGGGCCTGAACTCTGGGCCTGGGCGCTGTTGCTCAGCTCTTCAGCTCAAGGCTAGCACTCTACCACTTGAGCCACAGCACCAACTTCCATTTTTTTTTCTTTTTTGCTTATGTGGTGCTGAGGAATAGAACCCAGGGCCTCAGGCATGCAAGGCAAGCGCTCTACCACTGAGCCACCTTCCCAGCCCCTTTTATCTGATTTTTATACCTCATAAAATTATTTGAGTGTTTTGGTCAGCAACAGAAACACTATTGCATCATTCTCAGAGAATACATCCTGCTTTCTGAGATGACTTCCTTTATGATACAATTTATAAGGCCACATCACAGTAAAAGTTAAAGTACACACACACTCACACACACACTCACACACAGAATTGCAAAAAGCATGAGAGACTACAATAAGTGTCCATGCTTTACTGATTATGTATTATATATCAAGGCAGAAAAGAGCATTTCTGGGAGTGATAACTTGCTTGGGTAACCTTTCAACCTCCTTTCAAGGCATGTGGATTGTACTCCCGAAACCTAAAAGAACTGTGCAAAATCCTGCTCACTCTTGTGTTTCCCAGGGCCTGTTGGAATGATTATTGGGGGCCAGAAGAGGGGATGTAATGATATTGGTAAATAGCTTTTAAAAAGCTAGAGGAGAATATCTACACTACTGCCTTCTCAACAGAATCAGCAAATTGCGGTATTTCTGAGTAGCTGAAAGTAGCATAATTTAACGTCTTTCTTCTTGAACTCATTGAGGAAAAATAGATAATGTAATTCAGCCTTTATCACACTCTTATTCTTCCTTATTCAGTGAAGATCACTTGAAGGCGCGGCTTGCTAATTCTAATTCTAAAGTAATTCTGCAATGGATTGTCCTCATTATTAAAACTCAGAACAAAATGTACCATTTAAGTAACAGGTGATAGACTAGTTTTCATTCACCTTTATATTATAAAATTTGTTATGGCTTATATATGGCACAACTTGAAGTAAGCTATTTTTAAAAACTTTATTCCAACCTAAGAAGAGCTGAAAATAATTTGATTTCAACAGACTCTTGATTATTTTGCTCTTGCAGTTGATTATAGTTTAAATTATTATATTTGGAGATAGAAAATATTGTTATAATATGAATTTCTTATTTTTAAATTCTGCTTCTCCTCTCCCTCTCATAAATTACACGGTCTAGTATATTACTTTTCTATTACTATGTATTGATAGTATCATATTTAAACAATTTGCAGTTGTCATCTCTCAGTTTATGAGTCAGGATTCTGGTCATGGCTTAGCTTGGTCCTCTTCAAGGCTGCAATAAAGGTGTTATTGAGGGCCATATTCTCATCTTAACGTTCAACTGGAAGAAGAAAGATTTGCTTCAAAACTCATGCTTCCTGGCAAATCTGTTTCTCCAGACTGTTAGACTGCGAGTTTAGTTTCTTGCTGATGAGAGGCTGAAGGCTGCCATCTGTGTGTATAGGCCATGTGTAGTTCCATGCAGTGTAGGTTTCCCTTAACACAGCTACTTCCTTCCTGGAAGACAGCAGGGGAACCAGAACCTATAGTCTTAACATACTGTACGCTGATCTATCTGACATACCATACAGAGGGGTTATAGTTACATGGGCAAGATAATGAGTACATTGTTGCCTCCTCCTTGGTTTCCCCTGGCACCTCCCCACTCCCCCCCCCTCAGCCAAAGACTTGTACATCTTATTGTTGCAATGGGTCCACCTGTATCCCTATTTAAACAATTCGTTTTTTCCCTTCCCCTCCACAAATTATACCAACATCAAATACAGTGAAAGCACGGGTTATACCATGGGGGAAGGACATACAAAGCAACAAAGAATCATCTTATAAATATGTGAGAAACAATCGTATGAAAGCAAAAACATTTGAATACTTATCTTGGGGTTCATTTCACCCAACATCAACTTATCTGACCTTTTCTGCTTGACTCATACATATACTAGTTATTGCAAATAAGGGAAACCATGGGACCTATGTTTCTTTGGGCCTGGCTTACTTCACTTAATATAATTTTTTCCAAG